TGGGGATTAGAATAATACCACCCCACAGAGTTGTGAAAATTAAATTACAGATAGGGATTGTGTCTGGCACTCAGTAAGTGTTAACTATTAATTTGATAAGGAGATGAGTGGGAACCACTTAAAAATGTAAGAGTTCTAAAGTAGATAACTACCCCCTTCACTTGAGGTCAGACATAATGTGTCAAATGCTTTGCTTTCTGTCTTAACGGTCTGAGCTACCTTTGGGAGGGTCACCCCATGGGTAAGCTAGGTACTCCCTCTTAACATATTTTGCACTAGGTTTGTTCACACCAGCATCACCACAAACAGGTGAGCAATGTGTTGCACTATGACTTTATGGCTATGACATCACTAGGCGATAGGAATTTTTCGCTCTATTATAATATTATGGGAACACCTTCATATATGCTGTCCATTGTAGCCCAGAACATCGTTAATGTGGCGCAGGACTATACAGTCCAGACATCTGTGTAATTGGCTAGGGCTTAATAAGATGACAGGATCAATCTTTTTAGTTGAAAAAGATGACAAGCTCTTAATCTGTATTGCATACTGGTTGTAAAATCCCACTTTATGATTTTGAAGCCATGACCTAGACAGTTCCTTGAGCTATATAGTTCATATATTTGAACTGATGAATTGAATTTATGGCTTTTCATTAAGTCAGAGGTTCTTAACCCACTTCTTTAACTCAAGACTATCAATGGAAAAATGGTTCTTAACGTCTTTTGAGCCATGGATATGTAATACATATGTACATATATGTGTGTGTGTTTGTGTGTGTGTGTGTGTGTATATATATATATTTTTTTTTTTTTTAAAGAATTTGTTGCATGGAACTTCTATTCCATAAAACAGAACTGAACGTTTGTTCAGACTTGGTGATATATATAGTAAGACGAAATTTTTTCCCAGAGATTATTAACTCTTTTTTAACCTTATAATTTTCCTATGAATCACATCAGTGAGGAGCCGGTAGAAACAGAGCCCAAGGCCAATCATAATTTTTTTGCCACTCCTGGCCCCATAATGCAGCAATTGAAAAAAAGCGGTAAGTGTAAAAATGAAGTTACTTCTTAGTTATACTCTTTTCTGACTATCTTTGTACAAAAATGGTTCTGTCACCTTAGACATTCTAATAGTTGTCTGCATCTTTTAAATTTGTATCATTGAATTATATTAAACCCCATTCCATTCAGGTTCAGCATGATTTTGTCCAAGAGAAAGGTAAAATTTTCTGGTATGTTTTTAATACTCTTCTGATTATGTTCAGTATTTGTCAGCTTGTTTGTTTCTGACATTTTAACTTAAAACATATATTTATTCACTAATCTTTTGATATAGAGCCATAGTACTTTTTTCTTTTCATTTAGCTTAAATGTATTGATTATAGTTTTACATTATCTTTCTTGTATAAATCACACCCAGAATACATTAGCTACCATTTCAAGTTTCATTTTTCAAAAATAGTTTTTAAAGTTTTTTTTTTAATTTTAAGAGAAACTTTTCATTCAGTGTTTTAATATTTATCACAGCAAACATGAAAACACTGGTTTTCAAGAAAATAAAAAATCCTAGAGTTGTATGATTTCTTGAATAATTTTTGTAATTGTCTGGTCTATGCTAAGTTTATTGGCAGATTTTTTAAAATGACTTGTCTTTATCAGGTCTTTCCAAAGTTTTGGACATCTTCAGAAAAATTCTTTTTGTACTAATTTCACTGACATAATTAAATTATGTTACTAAGTTTATAAGTATTGCTGGCATAAACAGGTTTAAAAGAATATAACTAATTCATAGTAAGCTCAGCTTATAAGAAAGAGCATGATTATATTAAAGAGTGGCTCTTTTTATTAAAAAAAGAAATTGGACCATCGCCTCACACTATTCTCAGCAATCAATTCAAAGAGTGGCTCTTTTTATTAAAAAAAGAAATTGGACCATCGCCTCACACTATTCTCAGCAATCAATTCCCAGTAGGTCATAAACTGTTTAGAAAATGACAAACAATATTATGTTTATAACTTCTGAAGTGGGATGAATTTTTTAAAAATAGGTTTCTTACTAAATCCTTCAGTATGTCATAGGCAATGTATTTTATGGAAAGAATGGAAAGCTTACATTAGGAATTTGGTTAAGTGGAGGTTTGTTAAGAGTCTCTATTTTATTTTAGTTTGACTCTGTTTTTTTTTTTTTTCTTTTCCTTTTTTTTGTCTTTTTTTGTGTCGGGCAATGGATCGCAACCCTCAGTGTCGCGCCTGTACCGGACTGGGACCAGCAACGGGATCGCAACCCTCAGTGTTGCGCCCACACCTCACTCAGCCAGTGAGGGGAACCGGTCTGTATGTGGGATCCGAACCCTCGGCGGGAGCACCGCC